TCACAATATAGGATGCGAGTAAGCAAAATTTTCTCGGTAAATTTCATACTTTGTTCCTCAAAAGCAAACCCTTGGAGACTTAAAAACATATCTTGCAACATAAATGAGCCTAAAAAAGGTAAAAACCCATTGCAAATTACAGGGGTGTCAAACTCGACGAAGCGACATGCAGATAAGAGTGGAAATCATGCAGACCTATGATCTCTAAAAATTTTGCTATAGCACGGTCTTATGGCTCAACTCTACTTAAAATTCCTCCTTACAACGCAACATGAGGTGCCCTTCATAAACATGAGTGAAGCAACAAAAAGGTTGAGTGACCGAACAGAGAACGGCAAATGTACAAATGTCACAAACCATAGGAGTTGTGTAAGCTTGTTAACCCCATTTTACACTGATGTAACTGATTAGTCATCGAGTGCCTAGAAATCTTGAAAAAATGCCGTCAAAGAAACACAAAATAATGAGGTTGAGCTTCAAACAAATAAGAATTGAAAAGTACATTACACCATTGGCTTGCTCTATCTTGACCAACAGGAGTCGTATTTTGCCTGTCAACCATTTAAATCATCAAACCACTGAAAATTTATTGGAAACCCTGCCAATAAAAATCCCGCCAAAAAAATCCTAACTTGAAAATCCAACTGGAAAATCCAACTTGAAAATCCAACTCGAAAATCCAACTCGAAATCCTAACTCGGTAAATAGGCAACCTCCTTTTGAACAACAAACAACTTACCACTTTTGCTGGTTGAACATCAAGATGGCCATAAATGCACAGCTACAAAAAACAAATAAAATTGAAATAGTTACAGTAGTAACCTTGCTGACAACTTCACACTAAAAAATATTTTACCACAATTACTACTAATCTTGCAATCTGATTGGCTAATTTGCAGTTGACGATAAGAGTCGAGACAATGCTTCCGCCATCAATGTGTCACGCATACCTTTTTCAGCTCGCGCTCCAAAAAAATGTTTTCTTTGACATTGATATTGTGGTAAAAAACAAATCGAAATGTGCTTTAGCGTGGTCTGTACTCTTATCGATAATGATACGCATCATCACAGTGGTCAAAATGTTGTGAACCCACAAAATGTTGTGAACCCGTTGTTGATAAAAGTACGGACCAGGCTAAACCACATTTGATGTGTTAACTTACGTTGTATTGTTCCAGAAAATATCCAATGTACCCCAGGGAAGCCCAATGAAAATTCCAAGGGGAGGGAGGGGTGGTCAAAAGCCAAAAGTTTTAAAGAAAAGTATGAAAGGTAAACTGTAATTTTGAGATGGGTGGGACTGTCAAACCTATTTCTAAGAAACCCTCTATGAAAGGGGTGTGGAGATTTTTTGAAACAACACAATTTTTGATCAGTTATGAATTTCCACAAATCGTACCAAACTGTATCTAGAAATTAACAAAGTGAAAAAATACCTTTACAAAGAAAGAAATAAAACTTACTAGTCATTAGATCCATGGGCATCGTACATGTAAATATACTAAAATATTCAATTGAGATTGCATTTTTAACAAATTCATGTGGAACTTTATAAAATCTTTGCAAGCACAAGTACAGTACTGTATCATGCACACTGAAATAGATTTTATTACATGCAGCTTGCAAAAAAATGTCCATACATTGGGTTCAAATTCCTTGGGACAATTAATTGACTAGTTGAGCTATACCCTTTTACTATTCAGAACTGATGTTTTTGTAGATTGACCATTAATATGCTAATGAGTCAACTATTGTAAACGAAGGTTTCACAATGCTCTGGAGCTTCTGGGCAAAGAGGGGAAACCTCTATATTTTTGGCAATGTTCTGACCAGCTCAAAGAAAAATATGACATTCAATTACACATCATTACACACCAGTTGATATCTCTAGGGACTTACAGTTTTCTTTGCTGGGTCCTTTCCAAGTATTCCTAAGAGAACAGGTGGCAGGTTAATATTGACACCATGCTGAAGACCAAGATCAGCCAACTCGACCTCTCCACCAAGACGAATTACTTCCTGTTTGATAACAAATCAATAAACAAAATAGAAAACGTTAGCTCTGTTTTCTGTTGAGTTAACAAGTCGGAGCTTGCGAGAACAAGAAATACTGTGGGAACAGCATGCCTGCAATACAAAACCTGTCTTTTTAAGTTCAAGTGGTCCAGGAGTTCTGTACTGATGAAACACACTTGATTGTAGTTCTCTCAGTGCGTCCCCCCACCTAGAAGTGTCAATGGGCAATAAAAGTCTGAATTCCAGCATAGAAGACCTTAAGGCCAGCGCCTTCTGTGACAAATGTCAACAAGGAGTCTTTAACCCTCCTCCTCCCATTCCCCTGGATGGAATGCTAGTCCATAACATAGTTATTCCCACCATTTAATTGACTGGTATGTACACATTAAGTTTATACACATAGATGGAACTAAATGCTAGGGGGTATTAGGTACCTACAATGAATTAGCATCTCATTCCGGTAGCAAATTATTCTCCAAGTTACTTCATGCAAATAAAACCAGAGAAAAGCACCGGCCTTATGGTTCAAAAGGTTAGAATGTGGACATTACTTGTAAATTTCCTGTTCAATTATTGTTTACTAATAGTGAAATAGACTCCATGATTGTAGTTACCCATGCCTCCTTGCAGTATTAATTGACAGAAGGCAGATCAATGTAGGCATGCATAATTTTTATGTGTATATGGATCCAACAAGTTTATGATGTTGCATCACCATTCAGTCTCACATACATCTTTGACATGATTGACCATCTTAACAATCTCATCTCTGTACGGCCCCTCTGTCCAGGCTGAAACACTCTTGATAGCCACAGCATCACTGAGCCTTTTAACATACAGGTCCTACATTGAGTAAAACATATTAGCAATAGATTATTTCATTCATCAGAATTCACTTTCTCCTGATATTATCCCTATACAAGAGAGTTACATGACAGGCAATGTGACAATTACAAGTCCATCTACAAGCTAGTCCCACTCCACCCCAAACCTTCTCAGCCCATCAGTGACCAGAAATAAATTTTTCCAGAATGTTCAATAATATTAAATGATGGAAACTGTTGATTGAAACTTCAACTTTGCCCTCCCCAAAAAACCTGAAACTTTGTTGTCTTTTGTGAGAGGCTTTACACAATTTGATAAACTATTGATAAAAGATATTAAGCAAATAAAAATCCCTGTCAAATGTTTCATATTGCAAGCAGATTCATGAACAGTTCAGTAGCACTAGTCCCCTGGGGGGAGGTGGGGACTCCCCTATAAAAAGGATGAGGCCCATGCTCGTCGTAAATTTTGAAAATCAATCAATCACTCATCTTTATTTAGAGAGGGTGACACATAACAGTATTAAATACTAAACTGATAAAAAGAACTCCTAAGAGGTACCAAGACCCTGATTTGTGGGCGTGGCTTGAAATTGTTTAGTCCCCTAAGGAGTACCAATTCTTACATAATACATTGTCTCCTATTATGACTGTTGGCCCAGTACTCTAAAAGGTACGACAAAAGCTGCCACTATGGACCTTTTGAGGTTAAGTTTACACCCTAAGAGGTACCAAAAACGCTTTTTTAACCCCTGAAAGGTACGACAAGAACTCCTGTCGTTTTTTTAATGGGAGTCCCTCTGGGGGGTATTGGTAGACAGTAAAAGGCCAGAAATGGTTTTGTTATGAGTCGCGATTAGTGAGCTTCAGCGTGAAGTAGGTGGCAAATGATTACATGTAGATGGCAACGATTACCAGCTGCCAGTCATTTTAACAAGGCTGAATGAACAGTGGTAAACAGAGGGACACACAAATAATGGTGGATATTTCCTCATTTACTGGTACGAGTTATTTTATCTTGCTCAGTGCTGTTTTCAGGATAAGCCTGGAGGTGGGGCCCTGGTCTCATCTTTAAATAAATTACCTCAAATACAGGTAACATATTGCTGGTGGTTGATTTATATTGTACATAGCGTATCAATTAATTATTGTAGCATTACTTATTTGCCAACATACACATGCAAATGTTTACTGCTGGTATATATCTACGTAATATTATGCAGATTCCCTTTCAAGTGCAGGCTGTATCTGCTTGCAGTTATGTTTGGTTGTGATTAAACAACCATATATCAGAATTATCTATCTATTGTTGGATCACTTAGGGGCATTTGACCAACTTATTTAGCCCCAGCCATGGAAATAATACTCAATAAATAATACCCAGGGATTGACTTTAGGGAATGGACACTGCCAGAATAGGACAGTCAGTCACATTGACAATATTTGACGTGGGATGCTTGTTTCACTGGCCATCTATTATGCTCTTCACTCGCGGCCTATTTATTATTTATTATATCGTGAGACTGAGTGTCCTGCAATAAATAAGGCTTAACTCGTGATCACGACTAATAATTATGATCTCAGCTTAATTTCGGTTAGAACGTTACTAAGCTTCTCTGGAGTGACACATTTACTTTTGAAATAAAGTTGTGATAAATTCTTATCTACAAGCATCTATCATAATATTACGGATCTTTGTTTCGGTAAGTCAAGTAGTCTGTATATGCACTATCATAAGTTTAAATTCTAATGCAAAATCAAATAAAAGTTAACAGCTAAGTTTCGGCTAAATACCTTTAATTTGAAATTAACTTACCTGATGACTGTCCACGTACCTATAGAAGGCCATAGAAAATAAAACCAAAATTCTTTCAGAGTGAGTTACAGAATAGTGGGATTACAAATACTACAAATTGTCTTCTTATGGATGTATTTTTTGTGAACAAAGTCATGCAAACTTACTTGAAAATGGTCGCGAGTTTGGGAGAAAGCGCCGCCATCCCGTGTCAGGAAGGAAGTCTCGTGAGAGGAAAGGAAGGTGAAACGGAACCGAAATTTCTATGTGCGCAGGGGAGGGGTGGAGGGTAATGACTTTCTGGAAGGATAGAATATATTTTCTCTGCTCTTTTCATTTGGAACTAAACTAGCGTAAAGAAAATATCTAAATCCTATGTTTTTCTCTAGTGGGTGTTGAATACATCATTCCCTATTTATGAAATTTTGTATTTTAGAAATGATATGAATCCTACTCTCCCCTCCCCAATCAACTGATTCCCGCTGACTAGCCTCGCTTTCAAGTTTCCGCCTTTCCGCTTTTTAATGAAAAGTTGACAATTTTCCCACCCCTCCCCTACTCAAAAATTTGTCAATGCAAGGAAGCCGCCATCTTGAAAGCGTGGGGTAAATGGTCGAAAGATAAAGCAAGATTTCTTCAGGATCCCAGCGTCCAGAAGCCATCCGTTCAAGTTTCCACGGAAGAATTCGAAGTAACCAACCTTTTTTATGTGTTTTTGGTTTGTTCCCTATAGGTGATTCCTGTTTGTCTGCGACTTTCCTTACATCAGCTTACATGTAGCTGAATATCTTGTCGATTGCGCGTTCGCTTGCTCATATTTTTAATGTTTTCATATTATTAATGAATGAACAAAAAGTTTTGTTTTGAAATTTCGACGATCTTTTGGCCTCGAGTATCCATATTGGTGCTGAAGTGCGCGATTTAAGCTTTAGTGTAAACTTTTCTGTGTGGATCATCTGTGCTACAGTCGCCTCACAATCAGTCGACAATTTCAGAAAAATTTAATTGGTCTAAGTTCCTTCTACATACAAAACATGTTCAGTTCGTCACCACGTTTGCTGCTTGCCTTTTTATTTAATTGTGTTCCTCCTTAGGATGGATGGTTGTTGTGATTGTGTGTACGTTGTATATCGCTGTAGCGTGTGTACGTATCTAAACGTGGATTTCTCACGAGGAAAATTTAAGATTGAATGGTTAAAACCAGAAGGAAACTTCACCTGAGCTAAAATGATTGAGTCAATGGTAATCAATATTGGTGCAAGGAGGGCAAGATCTTGAAGATCCCCTGGTTTTTTTGGTGGTGATGGTGTTTCCCAGGACAGCCCCACCAATATGTTGTATAGTCAAAGTTCATGCATGAAAAATGTCATTTACATATATATGTTGATCAAGAGTTCAAAGGTACCAGATCTGTGAGTTCCTTTTAAAAACAGGCAGAAAACAATTCAATTCGTGTTATGATAGAATGCCATCTGCAGATGCATTTCAGTGCTTGTAATATTGTAATTTTGTCCCATTAATTTTGTGGTACTGCTTCACATGTAGCAGATGTGTTCTCTGTGTTGTAACTAACACTTTTGTTATCTTAAATATTCATTTGTACTGCTTATTTGATAGTGACAAAGAGAAATAAGAACGTTCAAGCTTCAGTTTTCCTTAATCCCTGTAGTGATACAACATGATAAAGTTGTCATTATTAGAGGGATTGTGGGAATTAACATCTTGAAGATTTTTAAAAAATCAATAATCATTGAACATTCAGTGGCAGAAAGGTTTTGAAAAAAAATGCCTAAAATAGGATTGGACCTACAGTAGATAACTTAATATCCCTTACTTATTTTACAGTGTACTTACTAAAGTTTAGGTGTACCTGATTTGAAAAAGCAAATTGATTCACTTATTATGCATGATGTACATGGATTCATCTCTCATGTCAGAGTCTCAATGTATAGAAATTGTTTGCTGTCAGGAATGATACGATTAGAGCTTGGGGTTTACTTTTGAATAGAAATCTTTACTACACTATACCTTTCATCAGAGCTAAACTTTTTAATGGGTATGTTATATTGGAAGTGGTCCACATATTGCATAATATGCTACTTATTCTACTAGGGGTGCTTATTGGAACAAAAGAAAAAAAAAAACACCTTCCATGCAGCATTTATTTGACATGGACTGCTTATAGATGGTTAGCTATAGAAAGGCCATTGCAGTGCATATAACTTACTAAATTGGCATTATTACACATGAATGTTTTCAAAGCTACATGCCAGTTACTTGTCTGTTTATGCAATTGTTTTTCAGCAGTAGTCAAAAATCTTTTGTGCTTTTGTGTGCTGAGGGGGGCTATAAAAATGTACATGTTATATACCTAGATCACCTTACCTGTAAGATTACTTAATTGTGTATGGGGCAACAAGGTGATTCAATTTGGAATGATCTCTGACTGTTAACGGAGGGAGATAATTAATCATGATTTTTATCACGAAGCAATCTGTGGCATTTTGAAAGTTCTTATTTAGTGGATGTGCCATGCCGACCCCCTTGTGAAATAGAAAGGAGTTGTAGGTTTTAACTAAGGATCATTTCACTGGACTCCTTGGATTGAGAGACAATTATTTTACCCTGTAATTAAATTGAATCATGGACTTGCTTTCACCTCGCTTGGGCTATGCACTCCAAGGATACAGTTCAAGGAGTCAGAGCCGCTTCAATGGAGGATTGATTGGAAGAATGTGTTGCCATCAGCTTGTATTTTATTAGCCAGGGCTTAAAAAGAAGACTTGTGACTTAACTTGAGAAGTGCAGAAGATCAACATTTGAAGGACAATTCAAGATCAGTGCATTCAACAATTGAATAATGTGCTTGTTTACAAGAGATCATCCCTTTGGAATTTAAGTTATTGTCATCACCCCAGCTGTCAATGACATCAATGGGCTTTGAGCTTATGAAGTGTGAAAAATCTTACCAGTAACTGTTATTATTGGGAGCTGCTTGGGTGCACATTCTCCTGGCTACATTAGATTTGAGGTCTTCATTGTAATTAACCTGAGTTGTTGCATTCTGGATTCTTCAGTCTTAACAGGATAGCTGGGAGAATCAGGTAAGAAAAAACTAACTTTACATGTATTTTACCTACTGTAACATTCTAACCATAGTGATCTCCAACAGTAGCAACCCTCTGAAAGTAACAATACATTTGTTATAATTGTAATATTATAGTGGGAATGAGAGTAGCCAAGAGTGTAGTTTAATTTGGCTTGAAGCCCTGCCCAGTCTCTCTGGGGCTCTCATTTTCCTTGGCTCCATATCATAGAAATAAGCCTTTTAAACCAAGAGGAAATGATTGGCAGGTTGTTAAAATTAAGGACTGTATCATCTCACAAGAGGCATCTTGATCAAAAACCTGGGTATCCAAAGAAAAACTATAAGAAAACTATGAAAACTAGTTTTTGGCTCATAATAATACAACGTCTACACTTGTCTAGTAATTCAGAATCATAAGTACGTTTTTTTAAAAAAAAAAAAAAAATGACACATGATTCCCTATCCTATCCCAATCCTGCTTGTGATTTTAATACAGTAGGTTGAACATTTCATAAAATTCTCATATCTTTGAATGTCCCTCATGTTGTGCAGTGGTAAAACATACAGTCATGTAAGCATCATATGCCCTGTGTTGTAAGTTGATGGCTTCTGTTTGCTTTAAATTATATTGCTGCTGACATGTTTCTTTCAGCCAAAACCAAGTGACATAGTTTAGTGATGACATCACAAGGGGATGACTGTTATTTCTTTTACTACTCCACCTGTACAAAGGTAAGTAACAGAAATTCAGCAGGAGGTAAACAGCTGAAATGAAGGAGGAAGTGAAAAAAAAAAATCAACATCTGTATGAGTGAACATGACTAATTTACAAGAGGATCTTGTGAAATATTCATACACATACCACATACATGTGCAAACTTTTCAAGGATATTGTTTTGACTTACTCTTGGTGCCAGATTCACAGAGCCATGTTGGTTTAAGATGCTTTTTAAGTGTTGTTTGAATGCAAATTAAAGTTTATTGGTAAGCATCTTAGAATACTTGCAGAAGAGCTTCATGAATGTTGCCCAAGGTATATAGATTACAGTCGGTACAGTGTCTGCTTAATGGGATAGATAAGACGGGCCACTCATGAATGTACTTTGTTTCTGCCAGCAAGTGGCAAATGATAATGGATGCTCAGTACCTTAAGTTTGATTAACATTGATTTTTCTAGGGAGATGAATGTCCATTCCGACATGAACCAGCTGCATTAGGAAATGAGATTACTTGTGAACAATGGGAGAAAGGAAGATGCTCAAAGTCAGTCTGCAATTTCAGGCATATGATGATCGAGGTACAGTAATTGCTGTTTATCAGTGCATTTTATACTGTTGTTCTTGCAAAAAGAACAATGACATGTGATCTTATCCAATCAACGTACATGTACAGTAGAAGTTCTTACCACTTCCTTGTTATTTAGTTCACAAAATACATATATATCTGTTACAATCACGCTCTAGTTTACTATTGAGCACTCTGAAAACAGATCTGCAAATCAACTCGTTTATATACATCTGTATATAATTCCCTCTAAAGACCAATTCTGTAATAATTATTAAAGACAGTGCTTTTAATAACATCCAGCACCCACCGGAGCTGCAGTAGGTATTCTGAACATTGTGAATCACTGTGTGTAGCTGTAGTATAGGAAGTTTTCAAAACTTGACCCAAAAGAGAGGAAGTTGTTATGGGCCTTTCTTTTTGGCAGTTGCTGCACCAGGACAGCTCCCAGTCAATTCAAATATATAATTGAAAGCAATGAAAAGGCTTTAACTTGTGGAACCTTTCCCATCTACCAGCTTCAAAAACCACAGTATTTGTTTGGGAAAATTTGATGAAATGTTAGGAAGGAGGGTTACTAAGAGGAGTATCTAGGGGTAGTAGCGATATTCCCAGTTGCTTAAAACATACATACATATTTTTAATACATCCCTTATTATCTTTCCCCATGGGGGCTTTTCGAAGAAAATATGGTACAATACTACAATTAAATACTAATGTACTAAAATTAATAATATTACATTCTAATTTAGATAATCACGAATTTAAAAACTCTACAATTAATTTATGTTTCAATGCATTTTTAAAAATTGAAATAGTTCTACTGAGTTTTAAAGTAAGGTCCAATGAGTTCCAGATGGTAGTTGTCCTTCATGCTTAAGAATCTGAAAGTTTCCTCGAACCCCTAGGGTTTGAATGTACTTTACCTTACCTGTCTAGAAATTAATTAAATAATGTAATATTTTTGTTACATTAACAGAAACACAGATCCCAAACCCCATGTTACTGGGAGTCCCAGCCAACTGGTTGTCTGAAGCCATTTTGTCCCTTTCTACACACCAAACCACGACCCAGTGAACGCCCAGCCATAAATGTCGCTGGAGTTGCTCCTGTGATACGTCAGGCTCAGCCCCGCCCAGTCGCACCTGTCCTTGTTGCCCCTTCTTCAGCTGGCAAACAAGAAGTGAGGAAGATACCCACCATATCAAGTCCTCCGAGACCAAGACCACCTATGCAGCAAAATGTCGCTATACCAAGACAACCTGTAGCACCCATCCCTTATCCTGCAGCCACAAGCAGGCCAATGTTAGTACCCCGGCCACCTCAGATGATCAGGACTCCCCAGTTCACTGGCCCTCCACGACCATCAGGGATGGTACAGCCAATGCAAGCAGGCAGGGGATTCCCACCCATACTTTCAGGGGTTCCAGTGGGATATGGCGGAGGTATGGACCAGAAAAAATACATCACGTACTGATTTTCCTGGTTGAAACTGATTAGCGCCGATTTGTCAAACCATGAGACAAAACACTTTTACATTTAGTTCAGTTTAAAGGAGCTCAGTTGTGGTATTTTGGGTTATTCTGGTCACGTACAAAATTACCTTTAAGTTGAAGAAAACCTGAAAATAGCATTTTATTGCGATGGAAAAACACCAAAGAGGTAATGATAAACCACAAAGGAACAAGGATAGTTAAAAGGATGGAAAAGATTACCTCAGATTACAAACATAGAACTTGAAAAATTTAGGTTAAACAAACTGTGACATAGCTCCTTTAACCATGAATGGTTTACAAATAGGTCCTATGTAGTACAAATCTCCCACTGTTACTGTCCCATGCTAGAGCCTGAACTTCTCTATATCTCTACCAGTACATTACTGGAGGTAGGATTTGAATAGCAAAACTTGACATGAATTATATGTTGACTTCATATCATTTGATTTTCCTTACAGGCATCCCAACACCTCAGCAGTCATATCATCATCATCCGCTTATGTACACAGGAAGACCAGAAGGTAAGAAAACAACATTAAATTTGTTCTGCTTGTTGAGTTTGTATTAAATTTTGATCACTCTTAGAGCCAGATTTAAGCATTGTTAGGCTCAATTTTCTTTTTTTTTTTTCCAGGGTCAGCAATGCCATTCCTGCCAAATAAAATTCCCGAAGACAAATTTGATCATCAAGGTATTGTATGCATATGTGCAAAGTCTTTTTGAAAAATATTTGTTAAAGATACACAATTACACACTGATTAAATTACTAAGTCACACAGTGATATCCTCTGAATATTGTCTTGCCTTAGATGAATAAAAAATGTACCCGTTTATGTTTATGAAGCATGATATAAACACTCAAAACTTCCTGTCTGAGTGAAACCTAACTGTGTAAACTTTGGAGTGTTCTCAAACTCAGTCAAGAGTTGCACATGGAAATAGGGAATTAGATACAAGAGTATTACTTGTTGGTATAAAACCTGACCCCTTCTTGTCTGTTAGATTCAGACTCATTCTCCAGCAGTGACAGTGATGAGGAGAGGAGAAGATCATCTCATCGGAGAGTGCGTAGCAGTTCGCAGCGAGAAGTCTTCGCAAGTAATAGAAGAGAGATATGTAGCAGCAGAAAACAGCAATCCAACAAACAAAGTCATGAGAGTGAGTTGTAATAAGGAGTTTATTTTTGTGTAGGAAAATAAAGGTGAAATGATTGTGAATAAGCTGGTAAATCATTTTCATGTGTAAATTGCTGCAAATTTCTCATGGAAGGTCGAACTATGTTATGGTTTGTACATCTTTTTTTGGCTAATCATTTTTTCAAGTTCACCATTTGTAATCCCTGTTAATTTTCTCCATCCTTAATCATCGTTGTTCCTTTATGGTATACTGTTATTGCTTTGGTGTTTTTCCATTTTCATAAACTATCATTTTCAGATTCCCTTCAACTTAAAGGTAATTTTGCACATGGCCAAAATAGTTCCAAATGCCATGAGCTCCTTGAACATCACTTTTATTGGAGTATGCTTTTATTTCATTTGTCCTGTCTTATTGATTGATTTTGGTTTCTTCAACAGGTTAAGCAGAACGCGTCAGTAATTATGCGTTGTAATAATTATGAATTTGTTTTTTTATTTGCAGGGTACAGGAGTGGTGAACGTAAAAGACCTGAAGGGACTAGAGACAAGAATAAGGCTTCAGCAGGTAATAATATGAAGTTTCTACCTGTCTAGATGTACTGTTTTTCTTTTTTTTATATATAAATTACAATTTTGTAACATGACTAGTATTTTTCAATTCACAATATATAGATCATGACACTGCACATGAAGAAAACCTAGCCATAAACAGCTGTTCAAGTATAATAGACTGTGGTCTAGTGGTTGTTGCCCTGTAGTAACATTACAATCACAGTAAGCAGGGCTCGAAATTAACTTTTTCGTTCGGGAGCCAGCTGGCGACTAACGGAAAAATTTTGGTCGCCAGATCGTAAATTTTGGTCGCCAACTTATTTTGTATATAACTTACACAAGAACTCGATTTTATACGTTACTTTGCATGCAAAAAAAGTCACAATTGAAGAGCGAAAACAATTAGAAACAACACAAGTAACACTTAGTTATAAAGCTACCGTTGTTCTCAGGTGATATGTCTCTGCTCCTAAGGTGGTGGTTGTCTCCACAGTCATTTTAAATGAAGCGAAGCATAAAACGTTTTAAGTGCGGGGTTTTCATTGTGAGATAAACACGGGTCCTTGCGTATTTTTCCTTTGCTACTTCTTCGAAATGCCGTTCTTTATTTTGTACTTGCTTTCCTCGACGCCTTTCGCTCACGTAATCCTCCAACTAATTGGTATCTGCCGCCATTTTCGCGGCAAATGAAAAGCACATGGCGTTGAAGTGCGCCTGCGATCCCAGTTTCGGAAGAAGCCGCTGAAACTAATGACGCGCCGTGAACGTAGTATCGACGTGTCGAAATACATTCAATTTTTTCAATTATCGTGTAGTATTCAGACATTATTTTACTGGGGACGGAAAGGTGAGTTGTATACTAGCTACCATATCCAATTAATTTCCTAATATAAAGATTTAAAAACAAAAGTTGTGTCGCGGTTTTCTTTAGTTATCGGACAAAACGCGAGTCGCCAGTGCTCAATTTTTGGTCGCATTGGCGACCAGTGAGTCGCAATTTCGAGCCCTGGAGTCATAGGTTGAGAGCTTGCAATCCATTAGTCTTAATTGTTTTCAAAGGGGATGTAACGCATGGTTGTGAGGCTGTATAATAATGATAATGATAATGATAACATGATAACTTTGTTAACGTGTCGGATTGCTCTAGCCGAGGGATACCCCTCTACTAATAGAGGACACCTGAAAAGAAATTACAAAACCTAAGTATAATTTAAAAATTAGCCTATTTACAAGTTACAAAACCTAAGAATAATTTAAAATTAGTATACAGTCGAACCTCCTTTAAGCGACCACCTAAAATGGACCATCAAATGCCTTGATGGTCGCTAACGGGAGGTGGTCGGTTACAAGAGCTTAGACCATACTGGGTCAAAATTTTGCCTCATTGGCATAAGGCACGGTAACTGCTGAGACCTATTCATGTGAAAAGTCAATTTCAAGAAAAAAAATCCAGTACTTCCTATTGAGAAATTTATAATTTATAGTGCATTTATACTGCATAAGCCCACAAAAACCGCTCTGAGTGCCCTCTCTTTTAACCTTTCCGGCATCGTAGTATCACTGGCTTTACAAAAATGCCACGCTAAATGACAGTCCGATAGATAGGGAAGAATGGCTGACTTAAAAAGTAGTAGTTTTGCCATAGTAGGAATTCAATTCCTCAGCCTCCTTATGACACCAATCCTCTGGCTTGCTTTTACGCGAATGTTACTAATATGATTAGAGAAGTTGCGGCTACAGTCTACCGTCACACCTAAAAGTTTCTGACAATCAGATTTCTCAGTTACACTACTCGAAACAAATATTGTAAAGGTCATTATCCTTATTTGCGCCTTTGTTACAAATATTCGTAGTCTGGTATTTTTTTGGATTATCTTCAAGGAGATTCCCCTTTCTCATAGATATGGTGATCGTCTGCATACATAGGCAAATCAGATTCTACATTGTAAATGAGATCGTTATGGGTTTGACTGAGGAAAAAAGACGGAATTGTCTACTAGCGGTTCAAAGAGAACGGTAAACCAACAATCATGGACAAAAGCAGTTGAGACACTCCCCCAAAAAACCTGTTTCTTTGAACATGTGAGTTTTTCAATCTCCAATTTTATCTTTTCGACCCCCTCTCCCCTTTTCAATGTTGTAACCTTGTGACAGTGTCCACGGAGCGTATTTCAACATTGAAAAGGGGAGAGGGGGGTTTGACTATCGACCAAAAAGATGTTTTTTTCAAATACGGAAGGACGCCGATAAAAAGCTTTTATTTTGCTCAAATGCGTCAATACTTTTGTCCATGATTGAACGTTTTGTCTGCCAGATAGGAACTTGATGACCTCCCAACTCCTTCTAGGCTCGATTTACGCCGCTCTCGCGAGTCCGATCTACGGGGGGGGGGGGGGGGAGGGGGGGCGGACTTCTTTCCCAAACAGCGGCTAGTTATCTGGCCAACACTCTCTCCCCTCATGCCCATAAAGAAAGACGTTAAACGTTTGACCCTAATTAGAGATAACTTCTTGCTTACTTGTCGTTACGTACGGTACGTATCAAAGAATGTCGAGGAGTGACGTCCTGGTTATTGTACTTTACGTTGGTCTAAACATTTAGGACCCACTCAGCGTTCACGTGGTGGTGTATTTAATAAGCGGTTTCTACATAGTGTCAATCCATTGTATCAGTGCGCGGTCAAGTGCTAAGTCACTTTAGTCAGTTTAATGGCGGTAAGCGAGCACTCACGTTTAACGTTCGTGAGGAAGAAAACGTTAATTTCTTTAAGACCCCCGTAATGTCAAAGAGTTGTGTCTTTCAATTAGAGTAGCGTCTAAGATGTGCTTTTAGTGGGAGCGATTTTCTCTCTTTTTAGGTAGTTTTGATAATCGTAATCCGAAGCATTGTGCTGCTCTATGTTGCGATAATGTTTTTTGTGGCTCACCATAGTTATGGCTAACGGTAGAGGCATTATCATGCCTTACAATTGATGGCAACGTCTTTGTATTTCCCCTAATAAGATAAGCTTGAACTTGTAAAAGCTGTTTCTAAAAAAAGGAACAAAATTATATGCATGCCAAATGCGTGCTTGATTGCCTTTCTTTTATTTATTGTTTTATTGATTTTGTATCTCAGATCTACATTGACCAAGAGTGCAGCGGCGGAAAGTCATGCTATCATACGTGTACATGCGGAAATCCGTTTGTCAAACTGGTTATCTTTTTGTCCAACAAAGGCGTGGCTTGAACCGCAGAGATTAAAAAAGTGTGGGAGTACTGAACGGAGGAGGCAGATCGTGCCCAAGACCTCTTCACGAGACTTGGTAAGATTTTTTAGTGTATTTTATGTCTGCTGCTTTAGCCAGCTAAATACGGCTCTTAATTCAGCCGTGCTAGTACTCTTTTGGGGTATATGCTTTCATGTTTAACGTCTGAGCCTAATCCTTCAGATATAATTGAGTGACAATTCAACAAACGTGACCTCTTCAGTTTGCTAAAACCGATTGTCTACTTTAGCCTGGTCGTAGGACAGTAAGGATGTGATTGGTTTGGCAACTCATGTTGATTTTTACAAATTGAGAGTTAACTATAAGGCTGAAACGGTTTGTATAGTTTGAGAATTGCAGACTGGTTTGAGAGGTTTCATAGCCAGAGAAACTATCCACGTGGCGTTTGTCGCGCCGCAAAGGATTGTGGGCTTTCAGAACAGAATACAAAAAGACGCCATAAACTCGAGGTGTGTATGATTTAAGAATACAGAGTGCTACTGTTCTTTTCGAGGAAAATAAAAAAAAAATACAGAAATTTTATTTATCGGCTTTGTTTATTTCTGCTTCCGCCAGCAATGAAAGTGGAAGTCCTCGCTGAACGCGAATGATGAGTAGTACAACGTCTAACAAGAGAGGTTGCTTAGAATGTTGTCGCGGCTACTTTCCTCCGGTGGCGCTGGCCGAAAAGATGCAGCGCATGATACATATCTGGATCAGGCGGAGACGTGTGTTTGTAGGTATGTACAATAAAAACTTTATTTCAGTGACTAGTGGCTTCTGTACAATTATGGCGGGATTTTGAAATTATGTAGCCTTTTACTTTTTATATTCGTCTTTGTATTGTTATGGATGGTGTTATGCTGGAAAAATCACTGATTCATCTTTTGTTTAAAATAACGAATCGACCAGTTCTCTGCCGCTGTATTTGATGTTTAGCTTCACTGATTTCATGACTTAACGGCTAATTTGCTTTCTGTATTCGTGCAGATCCAGATTTTTCTTGTCATCTCTCTCTTATGTAGAGGAATAGATTTTGCTTCGGTGGACTTGCCATTGAAAATGTTAATTGCTGCAAAACGTGCTATTTTTTCTTTAGTTTTACTTTTCGAGATGTCGAGTTAAGCAAATAAATACTGGTTATGCAAAACGGCTGCCACGAAAGCTTTCCATATTTTCTTATTCTGAAACTTACTCACGGTTTTTACTTGCTTTGCTGTCTGAAAATGTTTTTTTTTTTGGTGTTAATTCTTTATCTTCAGTTCGTAAAGTCGCTTTTCTTGAGCTGCGAAATGATTTACGCTATGAGAACCTCGGAAAACAAACAATCTAGCTGTTAGTCGTTATTTTTGCATACTTATGCTCACTGGAGATCAAGGTTTGCCGCCTACCGGCCAGCTGGTCATTTAGCTTTGGCTTTAAAAAAATGACACACCTGTAGTGATACTGCATAGGTACCTGTGTGAGCTTCAGAACAAAGGTTTTAGTTTAAACTGATTTTTTCGCAAAGCACTTGCAGTCTCTCTGCGTGACTGCAGAGTATCGCGTGGGCTCTCCTTACATAAACTAACATAATGTGATAATTGAAATAATTCAGACGATAATGACGACGACTTTTTTGTTGCCGGTACGAGTTTCTTTATCTTAGGCGTTGTGAAAGACAGCTCAGTAAAGTTTTGAAATCTTAGATACAAATGTTCATAGCCGTTTTCTGTTACTGAAAATGTGATGAAACTATTTAACACCTGGTGGGAACTTGTTGATTTTAATAGGTGAAGTCAGTGGCCGATATAAAAGGTCATCTATAGCAGGTGACTTCATAAATTTAAACCGCGTCCCCCTCGTGGAATAACAATGGTTATCTAAAATAAATCATTGTTGGGTGAAATTATAATTGACGAAATCACAATGATTATAAATATTTGTATTGTGTCTTTGCCGACTTCACTTGGTTGGTTACTTGGATGATTTTGAGTACATATTTCAAGATTTACTATCGATTTTATATTCTTTTTTTCTACCACCTACATATGGCTTTTCCTTGTCTAAGAAACTGAGTACTTTTTATAGAGAAAACTGAAAATGCCACACTTTGAATTATTAAGTATATCATGACAACATTATGTTTTATGTACAAGATAACAGTCTATAAACAGGCTATGACAACGGGCGCATTCCTATGCTATAAAATCAACTAAAGCAAGGTTTCTTAAGTTAGTTTCCAGCCCATACGTGAAAAAAGTCACCTAGTTTCGTCAATGTTCCTAGACTTTTAGTTTATACGGTCTATTTGAAACTACATTCCAACATCAAAGGTGCAGCGAGCCAATCAGAATGAAAGACTGATTAATCAGCAATTGGTCACGCTATGTTGATCATTTTTGTGTGCTTTCTGTCACTAACAATCCTAAACTTATAAATGACAATTGACTTTTACTTACTTACGATACAATAGCCACATGAAAAACAAAATGCAATCCTTTTAATCATAGTTAATAGAGGGGACTGGTTATGATACCCGGCAAACATCAAAGGAGTAAACAAAGATGCCAAGATTTATTTTGGAAGGTCCACGACCGTGCACAATATTGTGTTTCGCGCTCATACACTATGCATGAATTACGTAATCAACACGTTTCTATTGGTTAGTTCCTCAGTACGGAGAAAACAACTATTGTGTTTTGTGCACGGTCAAGGCCAAAAAAGCGAACAAAAACATACAACTAATAAGTTTGTCGGGTTTCATTAACTATGTTTTAATCTAGTCAAAGTTTGTCCGCGGTCCGCGGTGCTTCTTTTTGCATTTCTAGCAGTCGTTTCTATTTACTAGTTTTAAACCATTGCTTGGACGTTTTCTCTAATTTTATGACTTAATTAATGCGGCCTGTCGGGCCGGACGGAATGAAATGTAGGTTAAAAATGGAATCTTTTATTTTATCGAATTTTGTCTATCGTGCTTTTATTTCGACCCCTCTGATTAATCAGCAATTCATAACCATCCCGTGTACCCAAACCGAAAGATCGGATCCAAGCCCAAGGCAAGAGAAAAGACCCCCCCCCCCCCCCCCCCCCCCCCCCCCNACATGCCGACACAGAAGTGGTCTGCGATCCGGAAACACGTCAGAGAGCGACATGGGAGGGACATAAGGGACATAGATCTTACACAGAGCTTGCGGAAGTGCCAGAGCAAATTTGACTGCTTAATTTATGAGATGCTTTTTATAAACGTCGTTTGTTCTTACCTCTAGTTTATATCCTTAAATGTCTTTCTGGTAGTCTTTTAGTTTTAAACTATTGTGTAAACTAGTTCTCTTTAATTTTATGACCAGTTTGCACGTATTACTTATCATAGCATATTTTTGTACTCCATGCACTTTACTAGACCGCCCCCCGCCCCCCTCCCAACCTAACACCGGAAACCTCACAGACAAGCATTACTATATCTATTGATGTTGCATTATTTTCAAGGAACATATAGATCTAAGGAAGTCCTTTGCAGAGCTAAGGGAAGCTTGGTTGGAGGCCATTTAGTTGACAATTTGAAATGCGAGTTCGATTATTTTCGGTTGCCGAACTCAATCGAACACTGTCTCATAGAATGAGTGCGATTGGGATCAATTTATTCGCTTGACTTCGACTGGTTCCGGAAAAAGAATTCGCAGAAAGTTCGGTGTTCGATTTCGTTGGATTGCCTAACCCAATCGAGCTCAATCCACTCATTGAGTTCGATTGAGCTGTGAACGTAGTATCGACGTGCCGAAATACATTCAATTTTTTCAATTATCGTGTAATATTCAGACATTATTTTACTGGGGAAGGAAAGGTGAGTTGTATACTAGCTACCATATCCAATTGATTTCCTAATATAAAGATTTAAAAACAAAAGTTGTGTCGTGGTTTTCTTTAGTTATCGGACAAAACGCGAGTCGCCAGCTGGCGACCAGTTCTGAAAATTTAGTCGCCAGTGCTCAATTTTTGGTCGCATTGGCGACCAGTGAGTCGCAATTTCGAGCCCTGGTAAGCTGTCAATGTGCAAACTATTCACAGATCATTTTGTTGGTGTTTGTGCAGAGGCTGAACGAGAAAAGTCTAGGGCAAAAAGAAAACCTTCCAAACGGTCAAGAGATGAAAATGAGGGACGAGAAAGGAGGGATAATGAGGAACAAGACAGGAAGGACAGTAATCAAGAAAGAAAAAGCAGTTCATCCATTGGCAAAGATGAAAGTGCAAAAGAAAAATCTGATAAGGAAGAAAAAAGGCCTGATGAGACAAAAGATGCGAGTAGTCCTGGAATTAAAGTCAAAACACTGGAGGAGATATTGCGTGAAAAAGCACTGAAGAAACTTGAAGAGAGAAGAGCACAGGGCAAAGTACAGAAAGACAACAGTGAGGGCAAAGCAGAAGAGAAGTTGAATGATGTTGTTGAGGAGAGTGAAAGGGCAGAGGAGGTAGTGGCTGGAGTAATTGAATCTGAAAATAATGAAGAACCTGCTTCATTAGATGGAAAAGACAACAAAAGCATTGATTCCTCAACAGAAAAGTCAACTGCCTCAAGAAAGGTCTCCACAAGTGGCCAAAAATCTCCAGCGAAGAAAGTTATCAAAACAAATAAGATTTCAATCAGCAATAAAGACAGCGACAGTGTTGAATCTTCCACTGAAAAGTCAGTTGCAACAAAAGGGATTTCAGCAAATGCTGAAGACGGTCAAGGCGGTGAAGAGAAAGTAAGTGCTAATGAACCTCCGTCTCCCTTTCAAGAAGTTAGAGTGAAATCATTCGAGGAAATAATGCAGGAAAAAAGGAAAAGGAAAGCAGAAGGGTTGAGAGAATCCTCTGAAGATGTAAGTGCAGAAGTGACAGCTAGTGTTCCAGGGCAGGTAAACAGCAGCACTTCAGCAGTGACGTCAATCCCTCCAAAGAGGTTGAAAAGGATAGTGCGGAAATCATCTGGTGACAGTGACAAGGATGCAAAGGTTGTGTCGTCATCAGGTGTGGAGAGCACTGTAAGCAAAGTAAAACCTACAAGGAAAAGAACAGTGTATGTCATGGATGGAACAAGTCCAAGTAAAGACAGCAAAGAGAATGGTGAGTCTTGTTTTATTATTAAGTTCGGCAATATGCCTTTTTAGGATGACTCCATGTTGAAGATCTTTGTTTCTGGACACTTATATGATCAAAGACTTAATTTTGTGACTGTGCAAACACTTTGGTATCTGTCTGCATACTAGTCAGTCGATCTTTGAAGAAGCCCCCCCCCCCCCCCCACCCCCACACACACACAACCCCGCTTCCTCCCTTCCTCACCAGCCAGGCAGTACAGCAAAGGTCGATTTTCGGAGGTAATTTGCTCTGAGTATTAATCAATGTTGACAAACATAAAGGAAAGGACACTTGCCACATAACAACGAGCTAACAAGAGGCTGAATAATCCTGGATTCAGCAATAACTCGGACGTATAAACGGATCAAGGGGAGGGCTGCAAGGTGGGGTGCAGCCTCGGAGCTTGATTTGTAAACTTGTAAGTCGTACGGTTTCTGCGATGCTTACCTGAAATGAGTATCTAGCGAGGAAAAATTACTCCTTCATAGTAGATGTTACGAATCGAGTCCTGCAAGATGACGACAACACTAATTAATACCGAAAGCCTTGTGAAAACTATCAAATACACAACTGATGAATTCGAAAGCTGAAGTCATCTTACTGAAGTTAACAGATCAATGAGTCTAAGATCAAGTTAACTAAGATCAAGTTAACAGATCAATGAGGCTAACTATGATAACTTGTGAAGAGATACCCTGCATATTCCAAACCAGTTTACCATACTTAAGGTGATTCCCCAGAATTGCATTGCACATCCCAACTGCGCATGATTTCGCGTCATTAGCCCGCTCTCACGAGCGCGTGCGCGTACACAACATATACAAAATGCTGGCTTTTTCTAAACAGCTTGGCTTGCGAGAGACAAATCATCGTTTTTTCTTCGGACACGAGTACCGGGACCTAACGATTTTTGAGTTATTTTTTGTAAAAAAAATACCTCTCAGTCAGCACGTCGGATATGTTATGGACGGGTCAATGGATGAGTCAGTGAGTCAGTGAGAATGTATGTATGTCACACCAATCAGATTGGATCTACTATAAACAGCCAATCAAATTTCTTGTTGTAAAGGTAAATTGTATGTGAGAAGATTTGATCCCAATACAGTTTAGAACGGCCATANCCCCCCACCCCCACACACCCCTTTTCTCCTCTTATGTAGAGACTTTGAGATTAGAGTACAAGACTGTAGTGAGAATATAAAGTTTAAATCCTAAAATGCAAAGTCAAGAATGCCACACCACTCTCATTCCTAGAATATCACTGGCTACACAAGGGGTATTCAGCGAGAACTTGTTCTTTCATCTAAAGGTCCTTACTAACAGCTTTAAAACAGAGTAGGTTTGGAGAATCAACAATGCTGTGTGGCCCTCAGATCCATCTCAATCTTTTTATTTCATTCTTCTATTTTCAGGTGTGTCCTCCACAGCTACGAAGGATGACAACAAGTCACAGCAGATTAACTTGAAAAAGGTAAAAACATCTCTTGTTGGTCATAAGAAATTAGTAGCCATATGTTACATTGTTTGGGTACAAATTTCAGCATATTTTTCGACATCTTTACAAATGAAAGATAAGCAATTGTGGCTGTGTCTCCATAAGAAGAATCCAAAATAAATGTTAAAAAAGCAAAATTATCTAGTAATTGAGGAACTGCACTTTTCACAAATGAGAAGGTGTTGTACATGTATTTTGATCAGGATAAACTGTTGTAACTTATTGGTGACCCTTGCAGCAGGGCAGAGGTGACTTTGTTTTAGCCAAAAAGCAAGCAACTCTTTATAAATTCCTTTTACTACAATTCTGTTTTTCAATCAGGCTGCAGCAGCTGAGCGTCTCGGAACACAGGAAGTCAAGGTGAAAAGCTTTCAAGAAATCATGGCTGAGAAGAGACAACGAGCATCTCAGGAGAATATTGAGATTCAAAAGAGTAAAGACGTACCTGATCAAGAAGAAAAAAGACACAACAATGTTTTGAGAAAAAGTCAACAGACCATGCCTCTGAAGACTGCTAGAGGTAAGTGAGTGAATAAGTTGTGTGCATGAGTTTTCAAGGGCAAAAACAATGTCAATTGGTCAAGGTGTTTTATCACTACTCTGCGAACATTTTGGCTCTTCCCTTGTGATGCCAATAAACGCAACATTAACCGGGGGAGAAGTAAACCCAGGATCAGCTTGGGAGAATATGTTTGCTAAATCAAGATAGATGTATCTTAGGTGATCATTTTATTCATTCTCCTTACGTGTTTCCTTGAATTTCCTGTTGCAATGCATAGAGAGGAATTCCCAGTTAATTAGTGTTACTTGTTTTAGCACATGTGATAAAACCAAGAAAGATCAAGGTTTGGACACAGGGAACTTCCAAAGTGAAAGCTAAAGAAGGCGAGCTTACCTTTGTTTGTTTGTTTGTTTGTTTGTTTGTTTGTTTGTTTTTCCTTTCAATGAAATTCTACTCTTCTCTGTTTCTCCCATTATACTATTTGTCACAGTTAACAATTCTAAGGAAACATAAAGCTTGTCTACTAAGATAAGTTGTCTAATATAAGTTGTCAAAATACAGTAGCAACCATCAGGAACAAAGTACAGTCTGTGTTAGACATAAATGTGGGATTTAAAAAATAGAACAAAGTTTCATTTTCTCAAGTTTTAAAACGTTTTTCAGCACAAGTGTGTTATTTACAGTTTGACAATGTCCGTACTTTACGATTTTGTATGTATATGTGTTAAAGATAAGAGAATATTTTACTAATAACTGATGTTCTTCAAAACGGAACTTGACGTTGATGCTAATCCTGGATATCGCTTTCCTGCTTTGGACAACTCACCAGGCTCTGGTTGCATATAGAAGACATAGAAGTAGCCCATTTCTGAGCTGCCTTTGGTCTCTATGTCAAACGAGTCTTCGTGGAAAACCATTCATAGGAAAACAAGTTCCCCTACAGGTTCATTTTCATGCAAATCAAACTCATTTTCATATGAAAGGTTTTACTCTAGGACTCGTTTTAAAACAAAGGCATAAGATAACTTGGAAATGGCCTATTATTTTCACTGAAGAGTTGGGTTCTTTTTTTAATGATCTACTTGATTTTTTTGTGTAGATGATGTAAGCAGTAGTACAACAGATGCAACGCTAAATGAACAGGAATCACAGGATCAAGCTGTTCCAAGTGACAACTTAGAAACATCAAAATTAGCCAGCATTCGACCCGATACCAGTGAAGCTGAATCCTTAGTCACTCCAGGACTTACATTGACGCTGAATGAACCCCCTCTATCTGATCAAACCATACCTGACAAAGACAGTTATATCAGTAAAGTGACTCCTGTCAGAGATGCTAGTGTTGGGCTTCAGCGGGGTGTTGATGACAAGATCCTGGTGGATTCAGCAAGTAAAGAAGCAGAGCCTTGCCCAGAGACCACTGGAATGGATCAGGTAAAAACATTAATATGGAAACTAAATTTTAAGAGGCTAGATAGGTTTTCAGTTAAGTGTCGTAAAGCCCAAACCAAACCAGTTACTTATCAATTAGACTTCTCAGCCAATCTCAAACCAAAGTACATGTAAAACCAAAATCAAAGTAATGGTTTGATTACTTTCGACACTCAATTGAAAACTGCTTGAAGTGTATAAATACCTAGTAGGTCACTATAGGAAAAGCCAACCATAAAAGTTTGATTAATTTCATAGGGACTTGTTTCATATAAGTTACTGCTTGCACCCTTTTGAGGTGAAGAAACATTGAGATTAATTAACCGACGTCACCTTCTCTGGAACACCCCATTCTTCCCAAGTTGCATGATAGAATTCAGCCATAAACTTGGGTTACTGAAAATGGCCCTGAGTTGAGAAAAGGTTGTCATTTGCGGCTCTGTTATAAGACTTTCCAGTCCATAACGCTTAGTATGCAACGTTAAATTAAACACGTTTTAATCCAATAACTGTTAATTTGTGATGTACAAGTGAAACTTATGATCGGTTTTTTCTGATTTTTAGGAACCTGAAGGGATATCCAGCAGTCTACAAAAACCACAAGATTCCTTGTCAGGTACATCATTAATAGAAGTTATCAGTTGTATACAAAAGTGAAAAGGGCTGTAAACTGAAATGCCAAAATATGATGGATAATATCAGATGGAACTAGTCCAAGGTGTTAAGAAGTGGAGGAAGTTATTTTTAAGTTTTCCGCTTTACATGTAAACTTCCATATTGGTCCTTCATTGCACATCTTTAAGTTACAAATAAAATAATGTGATCACATTAATTTCCTCTCAGATCATCATGGAATGGATGACACAGACCAAGCCATGGAGCAACAGCCAACTGAACCCAAGGAACCAAAGGAATCAAAGGAACCGCCATCTTACGATGAGATCAAACAAGCCATGTGAGTGAAACAAAACAAGCTTTGTTTCTTTGTTGGTCTTACATAAACACATAATAACGTTGGTCCTTATCTAATGTGCTGTAAGTAATCTTTGAAAAGAGATGCGAACGACCAGATGTTAAGTCATGCCTCCAATGTAAATACGCCCCTTTTTCCCTCCGCCCGTTTTCCCCCTGCCCTTTTTTCCCCTCCCTCCTTTTCCCCCTGTCCCCTTTTTCCCGTGCCCCTTTTTCCCCTACCCCCTTTCTCCCCTGCCGCCTTTCCCCCTACCCCTTTCTCCCCTGCCCTTTCTTCCCCTGCCACCTTTTTGGTTCTCACGTATTTCACCGTTCGCTCGAAACAATGGTACTTCTTGCTCAACCAGGGACTGTTTATAATCTTCATACATGTTCACCGTTTCTGTTTAGAATGAGAGGCATAAGGGAAGTAAACAGACAAACTAAATAAGTACACCTCCTGGGATTGATTCTTGTAAGTCCTATCGTTTGTACTTCCCCTCCCTTCTCCCCTCCCCCTCTACCCACCTCACCCCAATATTCCAGCAGGAAGCGAAAAGAGGCACCGTAGGAGTAACATGTTTTGTTCACTGGTAAGAATTTCGTTGACCAGGCGGTCTTATATCCCTTGGTACTGCATCGTGATGTGTGTCGCTGATTACCAGTGTTTTTCTCTTTCTACAGAGCAAATCAGATGTCTAAGAAGGACGACTTCTTCGGAGACATTGATATGATTGACGCTCATTTTTATTTGGGAGAAGACGATGGAGACGTGGATGAACATTTGGACTTGAATGAGGACGATCTGCTCATGGAGCTGGACGAGATGATTAATGATTAGAGAGAAAAACGAAAACAATAAAAAACAGAATAAACAAGACACTTGCAAGGGTTAAACGGGATCGTAAGATGAAGCTTTGTATCGTGAGAAAGATGTACTCTGAAGGAACAAAGAAGAACTTGCTGGGGCTAAACAGGATCGAGAGTTGAAGCTTTGTATCTCGAGAGACAAGTGTTCTGAAGGCCTAATGAGATGATCCACCAATGGAAAAAGGGAGAAGAAAAATCTTTCAAGAAGTTAGCATACAGTGCCAACCTTTTTGATTCGTAAAATGGATGTAAAGATGACTCGATGAAATGATTAACCAGTGAAAAATACACTTCCAAGAGGTTACCATGCAGAGACGGAGGAAGAGATGGAAGTGATGACTTCACGTTATTTGCATGAAGTACATTCGCTTTGATTTGTATCAGTGAAAGCAGAAACAAATACAGCGTTTTACTGGCCTGGCTGACTGCTTGACATAAGGCCGTTATTTTGTCAAATTTAATTTAACGTAAGTTCAACTGACATGCGTAAACACCAGACTACAACTGTGAAGCCACGGCAACTGAGAAGTAAATACTAATTCACTATGTGATTCAAACATACTGCCTGAAACTGCTGTGGTTATATTACACGCGTTTTGCTGGAATTACATGCAACGTTCCAAGAACCTTGCCTCGGTACTGTCACAGCTCAACTTGCCAAACGTGTATCAGTGTTGGTGAGGCACAGTATTTGCAAAACCGCCAGACCCGCTAGTCACACGAAGACTTAAAACTGTCTGGCGAAGGGAAGCAGTCCTGGTTGGTTTATCACATGGAGACGCTCCGAAAAGTTGATTACGCGAACTTGTCGCTGTAGTGAAGAGCTGTCTGTCAGAAGTCACAAAAACAATTTTTTCCAATCCAAGTCAGAAACACATTTTGGATTGATAATTTTACTGAGGTCGTTGTTGTGCTAAACATTGTCAAGAACGTGACTATTTACAACGCTTTGGATAGCTGTTCTCAACTCAGCCCAGTTTGTACGACAGAAAGATATGATCCATGGAATAAAAACCTATGAACTGCCATATATTCAAATATTCAACTGACGGCAAAGAAAACCTAACAAATTAGCCACCTATTAGAGTATTCAACGAAGATTGAAGAGAGCTTATATTTCGCCCCTTACACGTACACCTTTCCTCATAACCTGGAAGACGTGGACATTGTGAGGGCATTATATGGCTTGCCTTTTACACTGTTTACTGATCAAGTTAAGACTTTCACAAGAGAATCCAGCAACAGCTAGTGAATAAGATCTGGGCCGGCGATATTTTTGTCGGTGACGTTACTAAGTAACGTAACGTGTCATCCCGCCATTGAACGTTTCAACCAGAGTGGACTTACAGCCTGTTGTAAGAGAAACTTGTAAGATGAAGACAATATGAAGACAGTTCATTATTGTTAGATTTGCCGTTGGAAAAGAGTTCTACCATATGGATGTGAAGAATTGTTCGTCAGTAAAAAGTAATGCAGATTAGATGTGCTTGCCGTCTAATGTTTAAGCTTGTTTAGAATACGGACAGCCGAACTGGGAAACGATTGACCGCGCTTAAACAAGTTTAGAGCTAGGATATCGGTTTTATTTTTAAAGATGAGGTTCAAAACATGTTAAAATGACATCAATCAGAAGCAGTGCAAATGGAAGTGATATATTGTGAATGTTTCATTTTACAGAAGAATTTCTGTTCGAGTAGTACTGTAGTTAAAAGATTCAAATTTCACTGATTTAAGTTTTTTTCAGAAAATTGTAAATAAAGAGTATTTCACCGTTAGGTTAGATGTTTCGTGGATTTGGTTAAGAAGTGAAGAATTTCAACACTACATGTAAATAGGTACAGATTTTATAACATTGTAAAGCGTAAATAATATCGTAAAGGCAGTTATATCAAAAGCAACGTGCAATCCAGTTTTTCCCATTTTACTGACTTACTTGCCAAGAAACGTTCTTAATTCATTGCATCTACCAACAATAAATAACCTTAAATGGGAAAACAACGCAAGAACAATCTTTTCAAGTTGAATTAGCTATTTCTTTCCTATTTTACTAACTTAACTGTCAAGAAACGTTCTTAATTCATTGCACCTACCAACAATAAATAACCTGAAAAGAAATGGGAAAACAACGGAAAAACAATATTTTCGAGTGTAGAGCATAAGCTGTTTTTTAATCAGTTGATCTTACAACTTAAGGGTTTGAGAAAGAAGTGTTCAAGCCATATCATATTTCATGTGTAACTAGAGATGTTTGAAAGTTAACCAAATTTTGAAGGACGCTCAACTTGTACTTGTGTTGCTTTTGTTTTTGCGTTTGTATTGTACTTCTGAAAGAACTACTTTAGTCACCAGTTCTAAAGGTGATGGCAACAAAATCTTGGAAGAGAGCTTTAAATATGTTTGAATTGTTATTTTGTGTAACAAACTCAAGTCGCATATGGGCATCTTTAGAAAGGTTGTGGGCAGACTTCCGTCAGCTCTCCGTTCTGATTATTTCCAAGTTTATTATTTTACAGATTGTCCAAGACTAGTCTGAATTAATTATTAGAGGAACAAGGGCGTTTGTAAAGTTTTTTTTGTATTTGATTTTTTGTTTTTGTTTCTTTTGGGGGGTGGGGGGCGTATTTTTTATTTCTCCACTTGACGACACGAATCGGGTTTATACATAAACAGGATTAAGATAAGGGAACTTGGTTTATCGACCTCTTTAACATGCTTGTTGTTCCAGACTGAAATATTTGGTATAATGGCTCATATACGGTGGAACCTCGATTTAACGAACCTCTATTTAACGAGGTTTCACTGTGCCATGATGGAACCTCGAATTTCATTATCCTTTGATCCAGTTTTTAATAAACTTTGTTAATTGATGGTTCAGTCCATATTGTAAGACACTTATTTCAAAACTCAAACATTCTAATAATCAGATAAACTACCTATTATCGATCATCTGATTCGAAATTCACTGGGGACTCCATAATCACACTAGACTAATTACTTCCATGATGTTCACGGAGAACCTTGTTTAGTTCAGTCTTTATTGACTTCTTTCAATTTGGTTATTTATACTTCCTAATTACCTAACTACAGCTCTTTACCAGGCCATCTAGTCACTTCACTTCCGTAACGTAACCGAGACAAACGAAACCGACTGACCGCGGCGACGCCTAAGAACTAGAAAACTATGTTATGCTGTAATCTAAAAATGAAATCCCATTTCTTCCTTAGTACACCAACTGAAACCTTTTTCCCTAAAACAGGTATATTAGAAATTGCAAAAAACAAACAGCAACACTAACGAACAAAACCCATTTACACAATGTCTTCTTCACAATATATACATCGTATTTAGCAATAGCACTGAGACTATCAGAATTCTTCAGTTTTTAGTTAATATTTGTCCTTAATTTATATCAGTAATTTTAATTTCTAATTACTGTTACTGAGTTTGAGGATTTTAATGTTACTTAAAGACAGTCCCCGAGTTGGTGATTTTATTTCTTCTCAGCGCCTGTCCACTCACAAAATGTTTTAACAACAGGCGGGGTGAATGAAGAGCGTGGTAGAATGTGAAAACAAAGAAAGCCTGTGCTAAGTTATTAGAGCGACCTGCACCGTTACACTGTAACAAGGTTATTTGAAAGACGAAACAACAGGTAAACAACACAAAAAAAATGGCCCTAGCCCTAAGTAAAAAAAAGGTGTAGATTAATAAGAACGAATTAAAATAGCAGTTTTAAAGAGGTGCAGGTCAACTGAGGTTGTTATCAGTGAGTAACATTGTCAGTGAACAGACGTATTGATTATCGGCAAAAGCTGACGCAGCGTCATGGAATCGCATTACGGACATTTAGCCTCACGAAGGCGTCGCTGAGAGCAACGTCGTTTTAAAAACACAACGTGTATTTCACTTCGTAATCTTGTAATTATCAACATCTATTCAGTGTATCTATCGGTTTCAGCCTATATTCTCCAAATGAAAGTACATTTCAAATAGCAACGTGAAAAATTTCCTGTGATAGTTCACGTTCTTGGACAGGCAGAATTGGTGATTTGACGTTGTTGTTTTACAAAGAATCACAAAGAAATGTACCAAGATTTACAATGCACATGCAGACGGAGCCATTGTAGTGCTCATTAAAAGGACTGTGTCACGGCTGAGTTAAACCTATTTCGTTAAGGCCCCGTCCACACTACATCGGCGGAATTTGAAAACGGAGGTTTCACTCTGAAAACTTTTCACTCTGTTTTCCGTCCACACTAGGCCGGAGGAACTTAAAAACGGAACAACCACCGGTCATTTTGGATTTGTGTTTGAGGAAAACTTGGAGAAGAAAATCACATGATTATCGTGACGTCATCGTTTCCGAAAAGCCCTGTTTTCAAAAGGTTTCCGTCCACGCAAAAACGAAAACCCGGCGTTTTCAAATCCCTTCAGTTGGAAGAGCGTTCCGTTCGAAAAGCTCCGTTTTCGTGACGGATTAGTGTGAACGGTAGGCCTAACCGTAGAAGTAACGTTGCGTTTTCAAATTTCTCCGGCCTAGTGTGGATGCTGCCTCTACATTTTGCCAAATACTCGACATGAAACTTAATTGACGTTAGCGAAGAAATAGCTTCCATGGATCTAAATGACAAAACCTTAGCCTCCTTAGGATACCATGTCGGCAACAGTAAAGGAGATTATTATATGGCTGTGTCTCACAAGGACTGGGAACTACCGAATTCGCGAATTTGATTGGCTGAAATCGATATTGACCGCGGTCTAGATTTTCC